TCACTAGAGGTAAAATATGTGCTTAACCAGTCACATTAGTGCCCTAAAAATCCTTCAACCAAAAAAAAGTTTTCTCCCTTTGGTCATTTCATATATTAAAAAAAAAAAGTAAAAGTCTAGGTTCTTATATTTAAGATGGGAATGAGTTTATAAAGGAAAGGCCATCTTGAAAATATGTAGAGAATATAAACAAGTCATACATTCGTATATCTCATGCATCTGGGCTTGCTGTATTGACACTTAGGAAATGACCAGGTAGTATTTACATGTTTGTTGGTATGCTGCACTGACATGCATAATATTACAGCAAAACAATATTCCCTGACCTCACAAAGCTTACATTCTAGTGGAGGGAAACAGAAAACAAATCAGTAAACATTACAGTGTGTCAGATGATGATCAGTAAGACTGAGGGAAAAAAAATGGACTATGGGGTCCAAGAGAAGGAACAAGGAGACCGGTTAAGAGACTACTGCAATGGTCCAGATGGGAGAAGATGGCTCTTAAACCACAGATATTTGTGGAAGTGGTGAGAAGTGGTCATCTTCAGCTTACATTTTAAAGGCAGATCCAACAGGATTTCTTAACAGATTGGGATGTTGGATGTGAGAGTAAGAGAAAAGTCTAGGAAGACTCCTAGACTTTGGGCATGAGAAAGGGGAAAGATGGACTTGCCAGGTACTCCACTGAGGCATTGATTGAACAATGTCATCATTGTATGTGGTTCTGGAAATGCAAAATAAATAATAAACATCTCCCAACCTCAAAGTGCCTCCAGTCTAGTAGACAAAGCAAACATACACGTGCACATAATACTTCTTGGGTATTATGATACAGATTCTCGACAAAGTGCTGTGAAAGCACGTTGGAGAGAGTAATTCCCTCTAGTCAGGGAACTGAGGAAAAGTTTCAAAGCAGAATTTAATCTGACCTGAGTCTATTATTCTTCTTGAGTTTGGCATCATGTGACTTGAGTTTAGAAAGATACATTGTGTTACATTCACAGGGTTAGAACAATTAGAGAAAACCCAGCTGGTAGTAATTTTTTGGTCCCATTTCATACCTTGGTTATACACGATTGACCAGGAAGAAAAGTCTAAATCGATACTCCTTCATATATACATTTTTTTTTCCATTGCAGGAGCCTTCTTCCTCTATGCTGGATTTGCTGCTGTGGGACTCCTTTTCATCTATGGCTGTCTTCCTGAGACCAAAGGGAAAAAATTAGAGGAAATTGAATCACTCTTTGACAACAGGCTATGCACATGTGGCACTTCAGATTCTGATGAAGGGAGATACATTGAATATATTCGGGTGAAGGGAAGTAACTATCATCTTTCTGACAATGATGCTTCTGATGTGGAATAATTTTCAGCTGCTGATAGATGTAGTTATTTAAACAAACTTGGGGGAGAAGAACAGCAATTGGTGACCTCACTGCCGTGCTTCTAATCTGGTTCTTTCCACAGTCTAGTTTTGAATGACTTCATATTCTAGAATACTTGATTAGGAGGGAAGATACAACCATGATGACTTTTTTTTTCACGAGCAAGAATACAAAAAAAATATACATTTACAGAGATTTTAGTCTAATAATTGTTGAGCAAATGTGTGTAATCCCTTCTTGAGATAGTCTGAAATGAATACTATACCCAGTGACTTCAGTGGTATCCTTTTTTCCTAAGACCATATATAACTTTAGTGGCAATAGAGTCAGTGGTAATCTAACCAAATTACATTTATATATTCATAAAGAATTATTTCACATGGCATTCTCCACATGAAAAAAAAATTCTGGGAGATGGTCCAAGGGTGTTCTATGTCAAAACATGGCCTATTGGCCCTAAATTTTCCTAAGAGGTAATGCTTATCTGTGATCAGCTGTCAGAAAGTAAATTCCATTTAAGCTTTCATCAACAGATTCAAAAGTGCCTCCTACAAGGGCACAACCTATCCTTTTCTCCTTTGGATTCCAAGTTTTGATTTCTCTCTCAAATTCAGACACAGAGTTCTTCAGAAACTGACTCTGCACAGGATCTCTTAAATATATCAAAAAGCAGGTCTTTTAGGGGTTACTTTCATACATGTTTTTTGCATCACTTATAAGTATACTTTTGCACAGATAAGCTAGCAAGTTTTGGTAAGAAAATTGTCATAAAATAACAAAGAAAAGATTTTTATGGATTCCTAATTGGTTAGTCACTTAGATATGCAACTGTAAATGCAAAATAGTGCCAGATATTTAACTACATATCAGGGTCAGTTTTTGTTCATGCCAAAATCATGACACCTTCCTCATTGGCTCTGGAGTCCTATTTTGTGCCTTCATTTGTGTTATATAAATAGCTGCATGCAGACTATTTTTCCCTTTTGGTCAAACAATAATTTCAGAAACAAAAAAGAGGAAGGAAATCAGTGGCAGAAATAATCCTGCTGTTATTGATGTTTAATTAAAATAATGGAACTTATTTTTTCTTAACTTTTTATTAACTCTCCTAAGGGAACTGTCACATTTTATTACTTGTCTTTTTTACTCTAAGAGCATAAACTGGTTTTAGTTTTGCACACCTTTTCTCATTTAAAAAAAATTCATAGATTTGTCTGGGTGTTTTCGTTTTCTCATTCTTGGCTTCAGTTTTTTTCCTTTTTGTCTAAAGATTGAGTTCCCTATTAGATTAATGTTTCTAATATAGTATGTCTATAAGAAATGCTGACTTACATTTCTACAATGTCTTTCCAAAGTCTTCACTGGTTTTTATAGTCATTCATCACTGAACTCCTAATTTTTGCTCTTCTGTTAAGAACTGTATAGTATGTACAAAATTACTTGCTAGTTCCAGTAAAAATATGAATGCATCTTCTGTGTTAGGAATGCATCAGTTTGATGCATTTTAAAATGGCTCTAAACATCTAATAAGGTACTATATTTAAGGGGGAAAAGGCAGATATCTATAAATTCAAAATCTAACTTGTTCTTGTCACAATTATCAAGCTAAGAATATTCCTGTGGAAGTTCATTCTCTAAGTCACTAGAGGTAAAATATGTGCTTAACCAGTCACATTAGTGCCCTAAAAATCCTTCAACCAAAAAAAAGTTTTCTCCCTTTGGTCATTTCATATAATAAAAAAATTTAATATTTTAGAGTTCCTTGAATTAGGTGCTTTGAAAATTGATTTTTATGGGGATATTAATATTGATTTTCCCCCAGAAGAGCAGATAAGATTTAATAGAAAAAAATTATTATACTGATATTTCTTATTCCGTAAGAAATTTCTTATCTGTGTATTTTACACAGGTAAAGTGAAGGGAAAAATGAGCTCTTGTATGGTACAATCAGAATATGTTGGGAAGAAAAAACATTTAGACCAATAAAGTGCTCTCTAAAAATTTATCTTTCTGATTTACCCAAATAATTGCCTCAATTCTTCTATTGTATACATAGCCTTAACTATATATTTATATCTCAGCTGGGCTGATGCACAGTAACTTTATTAAAGGAG